TAGGCATGAGTCTACGGAAGCTGAGCCGGGCCGTCGAGGACGGGATGTTGTGGACCCCACACCAGGAGTCAGAGCTGACTCAGTGGCACACAACACACAAAAGCAAGTTTAACCTGTTAATGTTTATAATTATGGTTAATATGATCATGGATCTGAGGCACCTAGTATACTTAATTCAGAACAAACTTCAGTTTCTGTTTGGATAATAAGTAATGTCCTTAGCTCTTTATTGTATTTCAAGTGAGGGTGTTCAGTATCTCAGTGTTCTATTAACAGAGATGATAATGCTGCTGTCACAGCTAGGGCTGCTGCTGTTGTTATCATCAACTTCCAGTGTCTGGACCCCCATCCAAAATTGTAAACTAAAACTCTGTCCCCACTTCATACCCATTAGAATGGCTATTATAAGAAATAAAGTAACAAGTGTGGGCAAGGAGGTGGAGAAATTAGACTCTTTGTACTTTGCTGGTTGGAATGAAAAAGTGATGCAACCACTGTGCAAAAGAGTCAAGTTATTCCTCAAAAATTTAAGCATAGAATGACCATGTGGTTCAGCAATTCCAGTTCTGGCTATTTACCTAAAAGAAGTGGAAGCAGGCACTTGTACACCCATGTTTATAGTTATTCACAATAGCCAGAAGGTCAAAGCAACCCAAGTTGCTTCTGTGGATGAATGCATGAACAAGATGTGGTATATACATACAGTGGAATATCTTGTGGTCTTAAAAAGAAAAGAAACTGGCACATACTACAAAATAGATGAACCTTGAAAACATCATGCTAAGTGAAATAAGCCAGTCATGAAATTACTTGACAAATATTGTTTGATTCCATTTATATGAGTACCTAGAATAGTCAAATTCATAGAGACAGAAGTAGAATGGTGGTTGACAGAGGCTAGCGGAAGGGGAGTGTGAGAGGTTAGTGTTTAATGGGTATAGAGTATCAGTTGGAGAAGACAACATTCTAGAGATGGATGGTGGTGATGTTTGCAGGACAATGTGAGTACACTTAATGCCAGAGAACTGCACACTTAAAATAGGTTAAAATGGAATATTGTATGGTATGTGTATTTTACCACAATAAAAAAAAAAAAAAAAAAAAAACTTCTGTGCCAATACCCAGGAATAGTTTGACACTCTTCCTGGGGTGTTGATAGAATAATTGTAACAGGATGCTGAGCTAGAGGTCACCCCCAAAACAAAGAAAACCCCCAGAGCTATTGCTTGGGGAATCGGGGAACAGAGCAGGGCCATTGAGAGTTACTTTGCATATCTAAAGAACTTGGCCAGTGTTTTAGTAATGCTAAATAGCTGTGCCTGCTCAGAGCCGAAGAGATCGGCATGACTCTAACCTGTGATGCATGTAGCCCTGACTGGAGGGGCTCGCTGCACCTGCTCCAGAGAAGGAAGGTAGTCAGCTCTATGTCACAGGGCCATGCTTGCCCAGACTAAGAATGGCAGCCAAGAAAGGCAGAAGAAACCAGAGTGCTGACAGGTGTAACCCAGTGTGGGAGGAGTCAGAAATGGGGTTATGGAGGAATATCCATGCCAGGATTTAAACCCAGGTATGGGGGCAGCTGTGCTCTCTCTCTCTTTCTCTCTCTCTCTCTCTTTCTCTCTCTCTCTCTCTCTCTATCTCTATCTCTATCTCTATCTCTCTCTCTATCTATCTATCTCTATCTCTATCTCTATCTCTATCTCTATCTCTATTTCTCTCAGCCTTGCTAGAGCTCTGGACCCTGTGGGAAGGAGAGTAGGAGAGCCATGAGAAGCTCTCTGTCCCTCAACATGAGGTTTGGGAGCAGAGAAGGGGGGTCTTGGCCACGTGGTTTGAAAGAATGCTGAAGGACCTCCCCCCAGCAGCCCACCATGAGGATATGGTTTTAGATTAAGAGCAGGAGCCTAGCTAGCTGAGCACGGATGACTGGAAAAAGCCAGAATACAGACAAGAATCTGCCCAGCTACTCTACAGGCTTCTATTTCTTTTCCTGAGAGACAGTACTTCTCACTGGCCTGGTTTGGCAAGGGGGTGGCACAGGCAAGATAATGTGTTTCTGGGTGGGGTTTTTTTTTGTTTGTTTGTTTCTAAAGGGAGTGAGATTTAACAATAGAATTCACCCATTATTCTAAACCTGTATAACTTTTGAATAAGTAGTTCCTTTCCTTTTCCGAAGACTCTAGCTTTGGGAGTCAAGGTTCTTATTGGTAGCAGGCTATAGACCCCAGTGGTTCTGTTACATAATCAATCTGAATACTTTGAGAGGAGTCAACTCTGTTATCCCTTTCTAACACTGCTCTAACTACAGCACAGATGTCAAAAAGATAAAAAGAATATTATCTACGGATGTCTCACATTTGTGTAGCACTTTATACTTGAAAAAAGGCTTTTATGTGTCCTAACATTTAATCCTTGTGACAGTCTTATAAGGTAAATTGTAATACTCCCTTTTAATTCATGGAAGAAAGCAAAGCCTGAGAGATTAAATTGTCTAAGACCACGGAGCTATTAAGGATGCAAGGGTTCAAATATCTACTGACTAAAGCCATTCACCTCCCAACAATACAGAAATAGTTGTCACCTTACTATGAACCTTACATTTGAAATGCCAAAAGTAAAGTGTGTTGCTTGTTAAACTGAATAAAAAAAAGAAAAAGATAACATCATTACCTTCTTGGTGACCAAGGAATAATGATTATACTGAATTTATGCACTGAATCCTATTAACATATTTGTGGCTTTATTTATAATGCTCAGTTTCCAAATCTTGGTCACATTTAAACTCTAGTTGGCTGTTTGTATTTTTGAACTTTTGTTTCTAAAAATACCCTTTAATTTGGGAGGTGGGGGAGCTTTATCTTAAAACATACTGTTTTAGGTTAAGGCTATTAAATTTTTAATCTAAATTCTCCAAAAAATATCTGATTCCAAAAAAAAAAAAAACCCAAGTAGCTAGGTTGTTCTCTCATTGTTATGCAAGAACTGTCTCATTTTAGGTCTTAAATTTCCTTTTTTATTGCTCTCCTTGGAGTGGATAGCTAATGCAAATGAGAGAAACCTGGCAATGCACCATCGCTGCCCTTAGTAATTTTATGAGTTCCCCTAGAATAAATGGCTGGGTCAGTGCAACCTCTTGATTCTCAGCACACAGATAGCATTCATTTTTTCTGAAGCCTGCCATAGATAAGTCAACTCAGAACCCCAACTCTCCTGCTGCAGAATGCTGACCCAGTAGCTTTCGCTGTCTCCGGGAAGATTTGGCACCTCGTGGGAAGAGTGGTGGTATTGACACCCCCTTGCTATGAACAAGCCTCCCTGAATTTATTAACTGATAGCATCAATAACTTAACTCTAACCCTGCGACAATATGCAATAGGTTTCACTGTGGTGGGATTCGGTGAAAGAATTTGAGATTTTGCATTCCTTGGTCCTTCCCTCTGTGTGGTACCCTATACAGTCTACACTGACAGGTTAAACCTTGAACATTCAAAGAGATGGTCCCTTGATTTACACTTTCAAGTCATTCCAGGTGCTGTGGAAACAGCAGACAATTCCCTCACCATTGCATTCACTGAGCATACTCTGAAGTCCCATCTCCTGCCTCACACATATAAAAATTGGAAAGTACTCTCTTTATTTTAAAATGCTTACAGCATTTTGGGATGTTCTTCCCTTGTTACTTTGTGTAAAATTCATAATCAAGGTTTCTCAGAGCAGAAAGCAATGGAAAAATGAAGTACTTTTACAAAAAATAACTCACACCTATCATTTGGGCAACACCATGAGAACTTTTCCCTTATATATATCAGATTTATTGTTTTTATTCCCATGGTTTATATTTATGAAGCACCTACTCTGTGCCAGAAAATGCCGAGCACTTCACATGCACTACGATTTTATATAAAAGCTAAAATTCTGATTATATATAAAATCCAAAGAACCTTGAAGTGCAAAGAGGTTAAGTGGCATGTTTTTCAATTTTTTCTGTGTAAAATTGTACACACCTACCTCAAATATATCATTGTCTTTAGAATCCCAAACTAAAGAATTTTCAGAATCAGGTTTGCCAACACCTGTCAGTACCTTCCAAGATTTAATGTTCTTTTCTCTCAGTAGTGGGGAGCACCAACTTCTTACTACTGTTTCATGCATTTCAGATCTATTATTGTTTTCCCTCAACTTTCTCCTCTGCATGTTTCAAGCAAACAAGAATAGTAGGCAAACTCTTGTTAACATTCCTGCCAAGTCTGTCTTTTATAAATGCCTCAGTTGCTTTGCTTTCAACTTTGAATTTTATTTGATTTTCCTATATTCTACTAAAGAGTCAAAGATACAAAGCAGACATTCATTATTTATAATTGTGAAATATACCAAAAAAATTCAATGGCAAACAAAAATGGAAAGTAACTCCATGTTATAAGTGAAGCAGACTTTTATTTTTAATGCTACTTAAAAGATAAAGGAAACTATTAGAAAATCAAGCCTGTTTTTAGAGAGAAACTCGATTTTTTAAAATGGGAAAGGTATTTTGTTCTAACATTTAACAATTTCAGCAAAATATTTTGTAACCCATTTAACAAAAATGAATAAGTATTTTTTGAACATGTGCTTTGTTCTTCAAATTTAAGGAGAATATGGACTATATATAAGAAATGGTTCCTGCCCAGAAGAGGTTATAATTTAGTGGATGAGAGAAGATGAACATACAAATAAATTTGATTATACCCAAGGCAGTATGTATTAGGTGCCCTTCCTTCCCACTCTTTAGCAAGGCCTAGAAGTTTATTCTCTAAAATATATCGTGAATTTCCCCTCTTCTTCAGAGAAGCTTGAGTTTGAACTTCAGAAATAGCCTAGTTTTATGCTTTAAAGATTAGAATCTGTTTGCCCTCAATTTATTGCCTGTTTATTGTAATTAAGTCTTAAATCTGGATTGAAATGCTGAGAGACCCTACCCTGTTACCCTCTTAAGATGTATCTTTATGTTCCTTGTATGCTAGCATCGTCGGCAATCGGGCCTTCCCTCGTGATTCACACCACTGTTGCATTTGGAGTTGCACACTTGGAACACAGCACGGAGGATGTGCAGGAGTTAATCTTCCAGCAGCTGGAGAACGTTTTGCCAGGCTTGCCTCAGCCAGTTGCTACCAAATGCCAGAAATGGAGACATTCACAGGTAATCATGGAATCCAGTAGTACGAGCACAGTTTTCTTAACAGGTCAGCAGAACTGACTTTACTTTATCTCTTCCTTTGCCTAATGCGTGTCAACTTCTATAGGTTTTACTATCCTGTTATTTCCCAATAAGAGATGCTTACAATTTTCCCCAACCTAATGTTTAAATTTTAGCATCTCAAAACGTACACCCTGAAAATCCAGGGTTTCCTATGCAAGCAAGGCAAGTTATGTACCAAAATGCAGCTGTTTCCCTGGGGTTTCTCTAAATCAGTACTGTGGTTATGTAGAAACCACTATAACCTCCCAAATTTTTGCAATACGTCAAATTAACCTCATAAGTGTATTTTGCTACCACAGTTTTCATTTTTATTAGTTCCCACTTTGGTTTTGACTGCCGCCAGCAGAGCTCTTTGCGGGAGAAAGATGAATACCTGCACAGATCAGCTAGTTCGGCTGTTTTGCAGGGTTAGATAAACCTGCTGATCGCACTACAGTTCAAACTTAAAGCTCTTTAACACTGAGTAAATGTTGACTTTTCTGAAGGTCTCTGCATATTTCAGTAGAAGTTTGTGAGTATTCCTAGAAAAAGCCTTTTGATCTGTAAACTTGGTTGTGAAGTTATTTGGGGACAGTGGAGCAAAGGGCAGGAGGGGAAAGGACACAGAGCTGTCTATCTTCCCCCTAGATTCCCGAGCCCCTGGGGCTATTGGTTATCTAAGCTACGAAGCCTTTAGAAAAAGTGGTGTTGTGAGAAATTGAAGCAGATTTTGTGTATTTTGAAGGGATTTCCAAAATCAGAGGAAATGGGAAATTGTAAATTATTTCCTAAAATTGCTGCAGATCTATGTGTTTACTCATATCCTCTCAAGGTAAATTATACAGCAAAACTTTGGGGAAAATATTTACTTAAACATGTCATGGTCACTTTAGAAGATGACTTTTTCCTTTTAAAAGCATAGAAAAATCTCAACAGCTAATGTCTTTAAGTGATACTTAACTCAGTTTTAGGTTGACTTGAAAAAGTCAGGGAAATAATCTTCTGATATGATATGAAGCTAGATCACACAGCAAGTCACTTTGCAATTTATAAACATTCCTTTAAAGAAAGAATAGTTTGTGAGTTTTTTCTGTAATTTCCTTAACATAATTTAATAAACCAAAAACATGACTTTAAAACCTACTTATTTCCTAAAATTCACTGTGTTGTAGGAATACATGTGACCTTACTACTACCAAATCACCTATTCAAAGTTGCGCAAAATCACAAAATTTTGAACAGAGTACATCCAAACCCTAGCAATGATTTTTGTGACAGTTTGGATGTTCTTTCATGAAATTATTCCAGTACATTTACAGCTCTGTAGTCATGAAATCTATATTGGCTACAAAGTCTAAGAGGGAAGAGTTGTCATTCAACCTTAGAAGTTTGCATTTTCCACCACTCATGGACTTCTCTTAGTACCTTGAGCAGCACTCTACAGAACACAGCATTGTCGTTGGTAGCAGAGACCTTACCTATGTTGTGAGATGGTAGCTCCGTAGATGATAGCTAACGAGCTAGGTAGGTATAGATAATCCCTCACATCAGCTTAGAAAATGAAATAAACAGGTTCAGAGACCCAATAACATTTAACTAGTTCTCAGTTTTACTCCCAAGAGAACATTTCTTTAGTGTTTTTAAAATGTCCACTTTAACCTTTGCATGTTACATAAATATAAGCACCCCTCTTCCCTTGCCATCCAGGATGCATGATCTACCGTGGTAATTCACAGTGTTTGTGTGTGAGTAAGTTCTAAGGTGGTGCTTAAACTGAAGGGAAGAATGGGGTAGAAACAAGGACCTGAAAAAAGAAAGAGGAACAGACAACTGATTTTGACTTTTTTCTTATATTTCTGATTAGCAGTACAGTCCCCTTGCATGGGGATCTTTTTTTCCAGCCTGGGTTCCACCCTATGTTCTCTTCCTTTTTCTCCTCCCAGTCTTGTTCCACCCAGATCTTCTCCTACTTTTCACACTCGACCACTTCCTTTTTCCTCTTTGGCCTTCAAACCCTTCTTTTATGAAATTCTGGGTAGACCATGGAACTGCTGCCATCCGTGCTCCAAGCAGCAGTGGTATTGATTTCCATTTCCAGACCCCTCAGGCTTAACTTTTTATCCACATCCATTTTCTTTTTCCTACTTGTGATCCCTACACTGCATCCTGGCACCCAGTGACCGGAGGGTTGGCAGAAGAAGAGGAAGGGAGATAGTGGTGATGAGCACCCACAGTGTGGGCCCCCTGGAGCTGGGCAATGCCAAGACGTGGTCTCACTTAAAATCAAAAGTAGCCTTAAAGGTTGCTAGTTTCAACCAAGTCCAGTGATGAGGAAAACAAAGCCTCACAGACATGAAATAAATTCTCCAAGGCCCATTGGCTAGTAATGAGAAAACCAGTCTATCTGCCTCTTGAGTCCTTTACTCCGTTTCACTGACCCTCTGTTTCCTCTTCACTGACGCTGTTTCCTATTAACACAAGTTTGATGGCTTAAAACAACATAAATTTATTATCTTACAGTTCTGGAGTTCAGGAGTTCAAGATAGGTCTCACTGAAATCAAGGTGTCAGTAGGGCTATGTTTCTTCCTGTGTAGGTTCTAGGAGAGAATCCATGTTCTTGCCTTCATATTTTCCAGAAACTTCACATTCCTTGGCTTGAGACCCCTGCCACCATCTTCAGAGCCAGCCACAGTGGGTCAAGTGCTTCTCGTGTTACTTCATTCTGACCTGTTCTTCTGCCTCACTTGTTCTTTAAGGACCCTATGATTACATCAGGCTCACCTGGATAATCCAGGATAATCTCCCCATTATCCTTTATGAGGCAGTATCTTCCACTCCCATCATAAAACCTCCAGGGAGAGCATCAGTCCTTTAAGGCTCAAGGCACTCAAAGGAAATGACTGCTGTCTGAAGAAGAAAGATAAGGGCATATTGTGGCAGGGGGTGGGAAAGTGGGGGTCAGTTTCCTGTATCCCTATATTGTTCTTCCATGCCCAGAGCCACCTCTAATGTTACATGCCACATTGGCAGCAAGGGTGAAAGATATTTCATTTATTCATTTGGTTACTCATATATTCAACAAATTCCTACGACAAGGCTAGTCCTCTGCTCAAAGAACCCTAGAGGCTAATATTTGTTCAAGGCCACTCCTAAGACACTCAAATTTTTTTGTCCTGAGTAAGATAACAGTGCATTCTTGTGGGAGTTGCCTTAAGGGAGGAAAGAGGCAGATGAAGAAAGAAAACATGTTGAAAGACTTGGGAGGTGCCCTGTGCCTTCCATTTGGGATTTGAATAAGTTGGCGGTGCAAACAAACTTTGCATCGCAATGACAGATTTTCCCCTTTTTTGCCCCCATTTGCTCTCCATAATTTAAATGTTTATCCAGTTAGTATAACTTGATGCCTAGGCTATAAAACATTGACTTGAATCAATGTGAGAGAGAAACATCTATTGGTTGCCTTTCATACACACTCGATGAGGATTAGACCCACAACCTAGGTATATGCTCTAACCAGGAATCGAACCCCCAATCCTCTGGTGTACTGAATGATGCTCCAACCAACTGAGCCACACCAAACTGGGCCATGTGCTCCACTTTTGACTCTATCCTTTTTTTTCCTTCTTAGATGAATAAATGTCTTTGCCCTTTTCAATGCAAATTCCTTATTTTGGCTTCCTCAGGTCTTCCTCACCTGAATACCTCAGTTGGCATAGAATTCCCTAGCAGTTAGAAAAAATAAAAGAGAAAGAGGAAATGTGCACCGATGTGAGGCCAGAATTTTCCTTAGCGATTTGGGTTTGGTGGGAGAGGAGGCAGTGTACAAAGAAAAGCCTGAGACCACCCATATATTTATTGAAATATATTATTCCCACATGAGATTAATTTCTGGTGGGTAATTATGTCTAATTTCAGGATTGGAGGGTCAGGTGGTGATTGGTAATTTCATTTTTTCTTTCTCTTTCTTATGCATCTTCTATTGTATCTTCCTCATTTTCTTCTTGTAGGTAGATAGGAACTAGAAAGCAGTAACTGATTATAGGAATATACCAAAATTATAACTACAAAGGACTGTCACTTTCAAAGTTGTTGGTCGCCTTGATAAGCTGCACTTTTATTTCAACAAGATGGAGCATCTATTTCAGAGACTGACATGTATTCTTCAGTATATTATTAGTTGGATCAGATCATTGAAATTTGACCTTGAATTTAATGTTTTGGAAACAATTGAAAAGTCATTTGGACTTAAATCTTTTTAATAAAATGGCTGCTCAACCTTGATAATTTTTTTAAATGTTTTATAGCAGTAACTAAAGAAACATAGCTGTTTGTATTTATCTGTTTTAATGTGGTTGTTAGGCTGAATCTAGAAGCAGTTCAAAGCTGGTACCCCTAAAAGACATTGGCCAGTGCATCATTATGTACTTAAACATGTGGTCTTCTAGGATAATTACTTTGAAAGTCAATAATTGTGTTTGAGTTAAAATAGTAGTTATGTTGTTCAGTAGTTTATTTCCTCAATAAAATCATTCTGTTTTGGGGGCGGGGGGTCATTCTGCCACCAGTCCTATATCTTTTCTTTTACATTTGTGTTCATAATTCCTGGATTTTTAATACTGTGCTGTGATTATGATCTTGAACTTTGGACTCAGACAGACTTTGGTTCAAACCTTGGCTTTCCATATGCCTTTGAGGAAACTGAATAGCAGCTCTAAACTTCAAGGGCCCAATCTGTAAATGGTAACAACTGAACCTACCCCATCGCATTAGTAGTTAAAATGAACGAGAGAGTGTTTTTAACAGGGGTGTTTCAGAAGGACTGCTTCATTGCCAGAAACTATGACACTTAGTCATACCATAGGGACTGTTGAATAATATAACAAACGGTGAGATAAAAATGGTAGATCTCCTGTGGATACAAGCAACTCTTCTCACTTGGGTTTTTTTAAGCTAATAGAAT